TCCAGACACTGCCCTGCCAAACACTGAAATGAGTTCTGACAAATGTGTGGATATTTATGATGATGAGGAAAAGTGCAAGGCACTGGTAAATGTTATTTATGATGATGAGGAAAAGTGCAAGGCCCTTGTAAATGTTGATAAATATGATGATGAGGAAAATGCGAGGCACTGGTAAATTTTGATCATTTAGTTTCTGTGGGTGACAATGAGCCTAATGATGGATCTGAAGGTCATGTGGACATGTGTGCTGATAACTCTGAAACATGTGATATGGTGGGTAATGATATGGCAGACATGGCTGAGATAAAAGCTGCAGTAGAATTAGACCCCCTACAGGTTTAGGAGGGTAGTCTGGGAGGAGAAACTTTAAATGGCTTGTCTGCCCAGAGGGAAAACTTGAAGGAAGTGAAATATTTAAACTTTTAAATATTTTATGATTTGTAAGTAGCTGCTTGTAAGAAATGTGTTAATTGTATGCATTTATAAGAGACATGCATACAAGCGTATTGTAACTTCAGTTTATGTGATTGTATTGCAGATTTACAGAACTATTCACAGAAGTAAATTTCAGTTCTGGAATAAAACACAACACTGCTTCAGTCAGTTTTGTTAGCTAGCTGTTGGCTAACCATTAGTAGTACTAGCCACTTGTACACAGGGCCAACCTAGTGTGCACAATATGTTCTATACACAGGTACCACTAACAGGCCTCATTGCTCTCTCTCGTTAGTTTGTGTACCCATTCTCAAAGGGAGCTATTACATGTACCTCTTTAGCACACATCCAGTTCCATGCCCCACACTCTGCTCACAAGAATACATCATTATGTTACAAACCACCTCAGAAATATATAGTGGATATAAATGTCTACACCCCCCTGTTAAAAATGGCAGGTTCCTGTGATGTAAAAAAATGAGACAAAGATAAATAATTTCAGAACTTTTTCCACCTTTTAATGTGACCTACTGTATAAACTGAACAATTCAATTGAACAACAAACTGAAATCTATTAGGTGGAGGGAAGTAAAAATAAAAAACTAAAATAATATGGTTGCATAAGTGTGCACACCCTTAAACTAATATTTTGTTGAAGCACCTTTTGACTTTATTACAGCACTCAGTCTTTTTGGGTATGAGTCTATCAGCATGGCACATCTTGACTTGGCAATATTTTCCCACTCTTCCTTGCAAAAACTCTCCAAATCTGTCAGATTGTGAGGGCATCTCCTGTACACAGCCCTCTTCAGATCACCCCACAGATTTTTGATCAGATTCAGGTCTTTGCTCTGGCTGGGCCATTCCAAAATTTTAATCTTTTTCTGATGAAGCCATTACTTTGTTGATTTGAATGTGTAAGGGATTTCCAGCAAGGAGAATCGCGATTGGGAACGTGCATGCGCACTTGCATTCCCGCAGGAGAATTACCGGTTGTGCGCGATCCGCACACGCACATGCACACGCACGGCAAAGATTGGCGCCAGACGGCCCATTTAAGGAGTGCCTCTGCTCAGGTTCAGTGCTGACTGGTCTTCAGCTCCCCCCGTGTCCTGCTAGTGCCGTACGATTCCTTTGTTCCTGACCCGACTCCGATTACTCTCCTGCTCCTAGTTCATGACTTCGGCTCTGCTCCTGACTTTGGCTTCTCTTTCTGATTCTGTACCGCGCTGCCCGACTGTTTATGACCCCGGCTATCCTTGACTCTGCTCCAGTCCTGTGTCCTGGCTGCCTACCTTGCTCTGCTGCACATCTGGCAATCCACAGAACCTACCTGGTCTATTGCTACGGTGCCCAAATCAGAGGATACTCTGCCTACCAAGGTCATCACCTGCAAGAGCCCCTCTGTTCCAACCTCAGCAGGGTCAGGGCTAGTGACACAAATGAGGCCGACCTCGTCAATTCATTCTCCCATCAGGTACCTGACAGGATGTATGCCATGGGTCTTCATGCTGAAAGATGAAGTTCCTCTTCATGTTCAGCTTTCTAGCAGAACCCTGAAGGTTTTGTGCAAATATTGACTGGTATTTGGAACTGTTCATAAATTCCCTCTACCTTGACAAGGCCCCAGTTCCAGCTAAAGAAAAACAGCCCCAAAGCATGATGCTGCCACCACCGTGCTTCACTATGGGTATGGTGTTCTTTTGGTGATGTGCGGTGTTGTTTTTGCAGCAAACATATATTTTGGAATTATGGCCAAAAAAGTTCAACCTTGGTTTCATCAGACCATAACACATTTTCCCACATGCTTTTGGGAGACTTCAGATGTGTTTTGCAAAAGTTAGCCGGGCTTGGATGTTTTTCTATGTTTTCTCCCCATAGCTCAGACATATGAAGAATACGGGAGATTGTTGTCACGTGTACCACACAGCCAGTATTTGCCAGATATTCCTGCAGCTCCTTTAATGTTGCTGTAGACGTCTTGGCAGCCTCTATATATGTACAAGAACTGGACATCTCTCCAAAATTGATGAAAAGACCATCAATTTTGGAGGGATGTCCAGTTCTTGTTAATGTCACTGTTACGCCATATTTTGTTCCATGGTATATCTAATGCCTTGGAAATTCTTTTGTACCCTTCTCCTGACTGATACCTTTTTAACAATGATATCCCTCAGCTGCTTTGGAAGCTCTCTGTGAACCATTTTTTTGGTTCACAAGAGAGCTTTTGCTGTAGATTGCAACTAAGAAAATGTCAGGAAAAACCTACTAGAACAGCTGAACTTTATTTAAATGACGGCAGGTGTGTACTGACATTTAACATGATTTTGAATGTGATTGCTTAATTCTAAACACAGCTACATCCCCAGTTATAGGAGGGTGTGCACACTTATGCAACCACATTATTTTAGTTTTTTTTATGTTTACTCCCCCTCCCTAAAAGATTTCAGTTTGTTTTTCAATTAATTTGTACAGTTTATAGGTCACTTTAAAGGTGGAAAAAGTTCTGAAATGATTTGTCTTTGTTTCATTTTTTAAATTTTTTTTACTTTACAGAAACCTTACATTTTAACAGGGGTGTATAAACTTTTTATATCCACTGTAGGTTCTGTCTTTAGCGTCTCACACTGAAGGTTGACTGCGATCAGCATTTTTCCCAGTGGGGTTCGCTTCTAGCCCTGTCCCTAATTTCAGTCCTGCTCAGAGTGTATGGACCTCATCAGGTATTCCCCAGAATACCATACTCTGGAGTCTTGACATCTTTGAAGGAAAAGCCCCACCAAGTCCTCTGGGGGCCAACTGCAGAACAGTGAACCCCACTCTCTATAAATTCTAACGTAAGGGTGCTCAAACTGTGACCCCAAACTGTGGGCCACATGTGGTCCTTAGAGTCCTTTGATGGGACCCTGGACCTCAATCCAGGGAATTGCACTTTTATTATATCCTGTCTGTTTAGTGTGCTTTCAGAAAGGTGCACCACACCCTCAAGATATAATAGAAGTCTATGTCAAAATGCAGCTAACCCACAGGAAAGCCACAGGTGCACTGCGCTGCACCTACGTTGCAGGTAAACCTCAACGCATCAGCACGAAAGCAGCCTTATAGGGGGCTCAGGACACTAAGGGCCCATTTACATTTGCAGTTCGGGGGGCAGTAAAACCCCATAGTTGAGATGTGTTTTTACCACACACCCCAAACCACTGGTGTAACTTCAGGGATCACAATGGTAAGCTGCCCCATGTTCCAGGGAGCCCATGCAGCCTCCCTGTCTCATTCTGTTCTACACTTGGACCGTAATGGCAGTGGGGGCAGCGTATCCAGGAACCAATCCTCTCCATTTTCCCCCTGCAACCGCAGAAAAGTCTGTTTCTCTTCCTCTCCCTCCCGCTGGCATTCAGCGGCTGCAAGAGGAAAATATTCATTGTGCTATTCAAAATAAAAAATTCGACATTCTGAACCATTTCATTTCATTGTGGCCTGTGACCAATTACCAAATCACTTAAGTGGCCCTCCCTCTTCAAAAGGTTGAGCACCTCTGTTTTATGGTGCCACCTAGTGGACAAACACCTAGTGGCCAAAACAAGTACACGAATGTCTCCTTACATACTAGCCATTTCACTGCCATCAAGTAAAGTTGTTAGCTTTTAAAGCGTATGCCTTCTTTTGGAAGTATATTTGGGATTCATTAAAAACATGCTCAAGTTGTGATTATAAGGGTTTGATTGAAATATATCAGTTGCTCCTTTTTCATTTTCTGTATAGTCAATAATAGTTAGTTGTTAACACAGTCCTTTAGTGTATAAATTCTAAAAAAAAAACGGAGCAATAATAATACATGGTACTGAAGCAGAATATATGTACAGAGCTGTAAATTAAACCAAAGAGGGAATGCTTGAGGAATTTGCATGTTTTTCTTTGGAATGATAATCAAATGATAACAGTTCTGCTTATACTAGGCACACATACAAATATGTACTAGAACCATTAAACCCATTAACAATAGAGTTTTCACAGTGAAGAGTGTTATGACAAATTTGAGGAAGTTAGATGCATCCTGAGCAGCAGGAAGGAGCCAGGCTTGGGAAACATTAAAAATGTCTTATCAGAAAGTGGCTGTGAAAAACCACACCCTGTCCCATAGCCCTTCTCAAGATAAATTGATGAGGCTATCAAGACTTTCAGGTACAAGCTCTATGCAGATCAGAGTTAATGGACTGCTGAATTCTTACTGGTAACATAAGGACTGCTGATTTTCTAAAAGGAGCCTTTACCCTCTTCTTTTTTAGAAGTAGATGCTATTTTGTGAGGAGCCAGAAAAGAAAAACAAGAATTACTAAGAAAAGCAAGAAGCAAACATGGACCCAAGCTACGCAATGGCTAAGTTTGGCTTGGAGTCCAAGGACATTCTCAGATCCAGGCAAAAAGGTTGCTGGTATTACATGAAATATATTTCTTCATTTTTTCATCTATCATCCAGTTCCTTATCATCCTAGGCTTGGTGCTCTTCATGCTGTATGGCAATGCCCATGGTGGCACAGAACTTCGCCTGAAAAGTGTAGAGAATCGTTATAAAAACCTAACAGTTGACCATGCATTGCTGAAAGGTAATGTCAGTTTGCTAAAAGAAAAACTTGCCCTTGCAGAGAAGAATATGAAAAACTGCAGTGATATTGTCGTCAAAATGAATACAATCATCAGCAACATGAACAAAACAGGCCCCTGTCCAAGACCTGTGAGTACAGACAATTTTGTGCATGTTTGTTATAGCATTACTTTTTGTCTAGCTCTTTTGATTCATTGTATTATGTTGCAGTATCATGGTCCAAAAAGGTTTTAGCACATGTGATGGTCTTGTCAAACTTACAAAAGAAAAATAAATGTTATATCCTGTAATGCAAGTAATTGTTATTTAATGCTAACAAGAATACCTAACCTTTCTAGAATAAAGAGCATTGGAGATGTATGAACAATACCCACTTTACTAGATTTAAATAATTTAAGAGATGATTTCTAATTGGTAGCTGCAATTTGCATACTCCCTTTTGCTCTCTTTATTGTTTGCCTGAATAGGGCTGATAATTAAGGATACACTAAAGCAGTATTAAACTGAAAAACAAAAATGTAATATATTGCAGTTCACCCATCCTTAAATGTCTTAACTGAAATAGTTTTCTTTTTTTTTTACCTTTTATTTTGACATTGTGATCCAGCCAGTAACACACTGCCTGTCTTGGGGTATCTCCACTCTGGACAGGGACACCCTTGGACAGCAGTATTATTAATCTGGGGAAAGTGTAGTGTAAGATGGACTCACAGACTTAGATGGACTTGACTAACAAATAAAGCCAAACTCCCCAGATAACACTTTTTAAACATATGCAGCAACAGTTTTTTTTTTTCCCTTTTGGGATACAAGTTTTAAATAAAAGCTGATCATTGTAAGCACCCCTGTCAGTGTTAAATGGTTTGATTCATTCATCTACCTGGCACTTTTCCTGGATAGCGTGGTCTGCAGGTGGAAACAAAATGAAAAACAAAAGAGAAAACCAATGCAGCCACCACATCTAAGGACTGGTATGCTGCAATACATTAAATGACTGACTTTGGGTTTAATACCACTTTAAGGTTGCTTTTTTTTTTTTTTTTTTTTTTTTGCAAACTAGAAAATTATTGTTATTTTTAAAGATTTTTGAATATTTACAATACCTCACCCATAATAAGAAACCAAATATTTCGAGAGTTTGTATTAATAAATTATTAATGCCAGCATTGTTGAGTAGGAAGTCAGGGAACCCTAAATCTCTTTTCAGTAGGTTTGGCATCTGGCCTCCCTGTATTCAATTTTCTTAAGCAAACACTGGGGTTGATTTATTAAAGGCATGTAGACTGTGCACTTTGCAATTACAATTTGCTCTAGAGCTTAGTAAATGAGGGGAAGCTTTCTGACTTCCGATATCCAATCATATGCATGCAAAAATTCTTTTTTTTGTTAACATTTTGCTTGCATATGATTGGGTATTCTTTGCAAAGGTAAAGTGGTTGTAAAGCCTCAAGTTTTTTTTTGCCTGAATGCATTCAGGTTAAAAACCTTCTGTGTCGCATACTCCCCCCTCATCCCCCCTCATACTTACCTGAGCCCCATCAAGATCCAGTGCTGTGCATGAGCACTGTGGCTCTCCTGACTTTGTCCCTATTCCCTGGACGGATCGATAGTAGCGGGAACCATTGGCTCCCACTCATGTCAATCAACTCCACTGACGAGGGAGTGGGGAGCTTAGCCAAGTCCATGGACGCAGCAGCGGTGCTCATGACCGAGCCAGCACAAGTGCCCCCATGGCAATCAGCTTTTTATTGGGGCACTGAACAGAGAGGCAATAGTGACACAGCCCTGGCCACACAGATGTCCCTGGAAAGGCAACAGTGAGGGAGATCTTGTTCCCAACTGTGATATCCCAAAAAAAAAGTTTTTTTATTTTACAGATTAGTATAATTTTTTTCTGGCACATGCATGACATGAAGCACATAATGTCAAGCGTCTCATGTCATGCATGCACAATACAAAAATTTCAATCATCTGCTTGGAAGAAAAAAAAAATCCTTTTTCCTCAAGGTAATTCAGTTTGGCAAATGCACAAGACAAGGCAGATGGCCATCTTTTTCTTTCTCTTTCTCAGCCAGCCTAATGATGATGTCATGCGCCTCATCTTGAACATGTGCCATGCCAGTCTTTTTTCTTTTTATGGTGGCGTGGGTTAGTGACTGGCGGGTTGCATCAGCGCTGAGACTTGGGAATCCATGCGAGGAAGAGGAAGGTAAGTACTACTTTTAGCTAGTAGAATGTTTTAAAGTAGTCAGGTCTACTAGGTGTAGGAAGGGGAGTTGTGGGTCCGCTTTAAGAAGGCATATTCTGAGCTTTCTAAACAAGGTGTTATAATTTTTATTTATTTTTCATGTTACATGTTATCCCTGAAGAAGGGCGTGGTGATACAACCTCCAAAATGTGCTGGCTTTGCAAACATTTTGTCATTGGAATTATTATTATACAGGATTTATATAGCGCCAACAGTTTGCGCAGCGCTTTACAACATGAGGTCAGACAGTACAATTACAATATGATTTAATAAAGTAGGAAGCAGAGGGCCCTGCTCGTTAGAAATTAAAATCAATAATCAACTTGCTTTTGGGACGTAATGCTTCAATTCTATATCTATATATAAAGATCCCCAAGAGCCCCAAAGCTCAGGGAACACTTTAATGTAGACACCAGTGTTCTGAACCTGAGCTCTGGCATACCATATAATGCCTCAGTATTGGTCCATGGTTGCAATGGGCAGTCTTACTGAACTGGAGGTAATATTTACCTAATTGAGCACTCTGGCTTTTCAGACTTCTAGGTTTTCTGCAAGGTATTTTACAACACACATAGTTGCCTGCTTTCCATGTCTGCTGCCTATGTAGACATTTTAAATTAACCACAGCTTCATGTTTAAATTTATCACTAGTCTGCTTACAGTGGACCTAGGACTTATGTGGAAAAAAGGGATGCAGTTTAGTCTTGAATTCACTAGGTTTCTCTTACCTTTAGAAATCTTACCGTGGGTTTAAAATAATTACACAATACAGATTTTTACATCAAAGCAAACCTTTTTTAAAAAAAGAATTGTGGTGAACACCAACTGGTGCCTTAAGCTGGCCATAGATGGGTCACGATTTGGCCAATTCAGCAAGGATCAGCCAAATTTTGATTCATCTATGGTTGTTCTCACTAGAAAGGAGTTGATCTAACTATGGGCTTCTCTCTCAAACAGGAATGATGGAAATGTTTTATTCGATCAACGCTGCAGCTAAATAGCTGCAGCACTGATCAGTGTATTCTAACAGTGGAGACGTCCCACTGTCAGACTACAATAGTGAAGTGGATATACAGTAAATCCTTCATCCATCTTGAATGTGTGAATGAGGGAATAAGTTAGTTTATTTTAATTATCAACTGGCTGGCTGATAAAACAAAATCTGTCTCTCCATGGCCAACGTAAGGATCACTGTCTGACACTGTGACCCCCTACCTCTAACTTAGAACTTTCAAAAGTGGGAAGCAGGATGACAGACAGGTTTAATCATGGCAGCAGTGGTGGTCAATTAGATATTAAAGGTCTCAAATTTAGTCACTGAAATCACAAAAAGGACTGCACTTATTATTAAAAGATGAAAGAATCATTCTAGGTTTGGCTCACAAACAGATTTGCATATTTTCAAATTTCACAACTTTGAGGTGAACCCCTCTTTATGAGGGAGCAAATCTTGTTACTTAAATCTGTCCATTTGTAAAGCTAATAAGCAAACTAGCATCTAGCAAAATCCACAGGAAGCCACACACTGACATAAGGGACATGTGCCAATGCCAAAATAAAAAAAAATATAAATAATTGATACAAAAGTATTTCTTCCTAAACAGAAATGTTAGCACTCCCCAACAGGTCAAACATACACTGACGATATAGCTGCTATAAACCCACTCTTTTATAAAAAAAAACTGCTGGGTTATTTATTCTTCAAATTATAAATTCTTATGGTTAAGCTGACCAGGATTAAAGGCTATGCACTGTAGTCTAGTTATTTTTCTTATCTATGCTGCAAGCCATTTAGTAAAAAGCTTGAGATTTGCAAATTTTAGGGATTCACAGTGAACCCCAACATCATCCCTACTTATTACGTTTATGTAATGCTGTAGAAAATGGTCCATGACCGTGGACATGCTACATTAGATGATTAGTGACTTAAGGTTTGCTATTAGAGATAACTAGATGTCCACATTTGTGATCCCTAAAGCCACCTTAAAAAATTAGCCATAACATTTGACATTCCCATAAACAAGATTTATTATAAAATATTAGAGGAAAAAAATACAAAAGAAGTAAAAAAAGTAAATCTATAGCACAGAATGTAAGAACCAGGGAAAAACAAACAACTGCACACTAATGATGCCACCTCCATGTTTTTGAGCCGACCAGGCATACACAGATGACCCCACCTGAAGACCATCATGCTCTAATGTCTTTCACCCCTAAGGGCTTGGTTGTAGAGAGTCTGCGAATAAGGCCACAAGGGTGAAATGCATTAGAGGTGGACCTACTTCAGGCAGTGTCTGACTGGTCAGAGCAATAACATTTTAACAATGAAGTGAAATCCAGTAGTGTATGCTGTTCATTTCCCTGAACAAGAGCAGATGGCATGTGAACAGACTCAAAGACCAGCACCTGAAACATCCATAACTAGAGGAAGATATTGGGTTTGGAGCAGTGGCATCTTTTCTTTTTCTACTAACAGAAAGTAAGAAAGTGTGAAAAAAATCAAGCAAACATTTTACTTGCAGATGTAATATATTTCCCTAAATGGCATCTAAGTAGGAGGAATAATGGCTAATTTCTGTTGGGGTCCAAAGCCTGCACAGTACAAAAGTGGTATTGAAGGGTGCCTATCATATAGTTTTTTGTTTTCTTTTATTTTACATGTTTGCTTTAAAATGTGTGATATATAACAGAATAATACCTATGCCATCTTTTGGTTTTCCAAGGAATTAAAGCTCCCCTGCTTTATCTTCAAATTGCTCTGAACCCTAGAACTTAGTCAGATAGTAAGGATGGTTTGAAGTGCACATTTTATATTTTTAATAGATCAGATTCGATGTGCTGATTGACAAACATATACAGATAACATTCAGCAATAGATAAAATGGATTATATCTTTTTCTTTCTTATTTTTATTTTAGCCTCCGCCAAATAACTGCATTAATTTACAAGTTGCCCTGAACCATCTGAACGTGACCTGCAATAGTGAGTTCTATCTTTAAATATAAATGCTCCAAATGACTAAATGCTCCAAATGACTAAATTAACATTCTTGGTATCCCACATTATCAAGATCAGCTCAAAATATTAATTTTCTTTTTCTTAGCAAGAATCTTACAAATCTGAAAGTCCACTATTGGTGGAATTAGACTCAATAGTTTCTTCTTTAGAAAGTCCACTGGCTAGTATTTATAGAGGAAGAGATCCTTCCATTATCTTAAAGCAGAACTTTACTCATAACAACTTCATAAAAAAATTATATTCTTTAGCAAGGAACATACATTCTACATGAATATTTATGCAGTGTGTGCTGTAAACTGCCTCCAGCATTGCTCCTTTTTTTTGCCTCCAGCATTGCTTCTTTTTTCTTGCTGCAGGCTGCCATTTTGCTGAAGCCTAGAAGCCTTGAACAGCAGTGGAACTAAACCCATTGAGTTAACTATTTCAAAAAAACAGTTACATTCCAGGAATATCAGGATTGCTAACTGTCACATTTGCTTGTGTTCTTAACCAAACTGTCAAACCATCAAATGACTGGTGTTAAAACTAATCGCATGTGCAGCACTATGGCATATGCAGATCAAACAGAAGCAGCTTTCTTGGCTGTAAAGGACAGGAAGGTTTAATTCTGCTTTAAGGCTATCAGCAGATTGGCCTCTACAAATTTGACAGTGCCTAAAAATGCTTAAAAATGGAGAGAAACTGAGCATGTGCAGAGCAAGGTGAGACAGTGTATTACTGGATTTTAAACAGTTTTACATAGCTATACCTGCAAAAGAGGCCAGCCTGAAGTGATCTAGTAGGACTTCATTTTCTAACTAAAGTTCCACTTTAATTCATAGCATATAAGGGGGTTTCCAGCTGTCTGAGCAACTACAAATTGAGAAGAAGATGTATCTGTGGATGAAGAAATAATTAAAATTTCCCATCCACCTCAACTAAAAATGGTTTTAATGCTCCTATTTTTTTTTCTAGGGGATGAAATAAAACCTTTTTTTTTTCTAGGGGATGAGTATTACCAAAATCCCTTGCTCTTCCCCCCCTTCCAGTTCTGGTTGTGATGTCTTGCCAATGTCATCACATACTGTACAATGCCACTTCCATATAATTTCACAAAAGTTGTATCTCTTCCCTTCACGCCCAGCTTCACTTTTATGGTTCAATAGAATTTTATTGAATTTTACAATAAAAAGACATGGGATGGAAATGGTCTTGGAGTAATCAAAGACGTGATGCTGAAACACCCATACACAAAACAGCAGTAATGCAATGAATACATTCAGCAGATACCGGTATTATCCAGCATCAGAATAAACAACATCAAGCAAAATTGATGTTTGAAAAAAACTATGGATATACGGTGGTTCAAAAGGCGGGACTTCCACACAGGTAGTAGTCAGGTGGTGGGGGTCACAGATCAAGGAAAGAGAAGAAACAAAAAAAAAAGAAAAGGGTGGGGTCCCTTCTTCTCTTTTTATCCTCCTATTACTTGCACCACTCTTCTTACAGATTTCACCTCCTTTCACCCTAATCCCCCAACAGTGTCTTACCCACCACACCCTGATCACTGTCACAGACAGAGATCTGCTCCCTGTGTTTAGTGGACAGACAGCAAGGCGCTCCAATAGCACCTGAAACAGGACAGTGCTTGCTGTATGTAGCACATGCTACCATGGCGACTTTCAGTAACCCTAGTGGCCCTTCAGGTGTGATAGATGAATAATTACATCTAACAAACCTCACCCAATGTAAGTTACAAAAAAAGCTTCAAGGATTGGCACTTATTGTATCCCACCAACACCTAGAACTGGCATTCATTTTATCCCACTGACACCAACAGAGCTTATTTTACTCACCACTGACACCATGACGAGGTTTATTTTTATTTCCACAGACATAAACAATCAGACTTATGGCACTCCTACTTTGCCTGAAAGGATAAGTTACAAGTTCCACCCGGTTTATGTTCCCGCCGCTGCTCAATCTCCCCCTCCCTGCGACAGCATTACAGAGAGAGGTTCCTTGTTCTAGCCCTCACTTTTTGAAAACAGCCCGCCCACACGGCAGCATCATTCATTCAGAGTTCTGAGAATAAATGAACTACAAGCCCTGACAGCCTTTGCAGCTGTCAGCTTGTAGTTCTCAATTAACTGCCACGGCACTGTTGAGCATTGAGTCTTTCTGTCAGACTGTATCTGCTTGCCCGTATAGGATGTACAAGCACACAGATACACTGACAGGTTTGCAGGAGTCCTGCATGGCACCAGTTATCTGCTGATCGCTGGTGCAATGCTTTTCAGGCTCCAAAAAAAAACAAATTGTGCATGCACATCTGTTTGCAAAAAAAAAAAAGGGCATTTATTATTTTATTAAAAAGTGAACTTGTCCTTTTCAACATAGCAAATCAAAGGGGGAAAGGTGCCGCAATACAAGCCATATGTCATTAACCTCTTCCCCTCCGGCCCATGTATATAAACGTCCTCCCTCTTCCCTGCTTGTGCGTGCTCCCTGGAAGCGCACAGCACCACGATCCGGTGCCCGCTGTGTCCTCCGAACACCGATCACTGTGTGACGTTCTGATCATGTGATCACTGATTGGCCAATCAGTGATCACATGAATAGTAGTAAGTAAGATGTCACTCTTACATCATTGCTTACTATGTGTGAAATCTGTGAATGATCACATGGTACATGGCTATTCACAACAGCCTTGTACCATGTGACAAGCTGTGACTAATCACAGCTCTCACTGTATTTCTCAAAGGCTGCAAGGATGCAGCCAGAGAGAAGGAGAAATGATTGTTTTTACAGGCTTTATGGGTGTAAAAGCAATCAGTGTAAAAAAAAAAAAAAATCTTCATCACCCCGCACAAGTAGTACAGTGTCACTTGGTGACACTTTACTGCTAGGGTGACAGTATAGTACAAAAAAAAATATAATAATATAAAAAAAATAAAATTACAATGTAAAAAAAATTTGAAAAATTATAATTTTTGGTTATAAACTAATTTGGGTTATTTTTTTTTACTAAAAAGATAACTGAATACATTTTGGCCAAGATTTAGGAAGAAAGATTATTTATTTGCAAAATTTTATAAGAAAAACACTTTTTTTTTTTCCCAAAATTTTTGGACATTTTCATTTATATAGCAAAACAAATAAAAATCCCAGTGGTGAATAAATACCACCAAAATAAAGTTTTATCTGTCTCAAAAAAATGCTAAAAAATTAATATGGGTACAGTGTTGCACGACCACGCAATTGTCATTCAAAGTGTGATAGCACTGAAAGCTGAAAATTGGCCTGGACAGGAAAGGGGTAAAAGTGTCCAGACTTGAAGTGGTTAAGTCACACCTATGTTACTGGTCACACCCTCTTTTCACATATTCAGGTAGAACAGAAAGCCATCAAAGTGGCTCTCCTAGTTATTTCCAAATGTATAATGTATGAGGGCCCGCAAACATTCCAGGGGTGCAGGGAAGAGATCTGGACCAGCTTTTATGAGACCTTGGAATGCATTAAATAGTGCTCTATTTTATCTGTAACCACATGCACTTTGGAACAATTCCTCCTCAAAGTTTACAACAGAAGCAGTGAATTCCTTGTTCAAACCAGTTCAGCCCTCCCTCTCATCAGTGACTTGTCAGTTTTTTTTATCTCTAAAACACAGAGCAGGTACTCTGAAGAAGGTGACAGAGTGCCAAGAGACTCCATTTGGACAAACTGAATGTCAACAGCCTGGCCAAGTTGGCACTATCTGTTCAAGTATTTTTTAAAATATAAGTGTTAATATTCTTTGTAAAGGTTATATTTTTCTCTGAATATATGTTTCTCATATATTTTTCTCAAATGTCCATAGCTTCTTCAAAATCTTCCCAGCAATCCTATCTCTAGATGAAATTTGGCATAATGTATTATTTATTATACACTGAAACACACATATGAAGTGGCAGACTTTTTGATTTACTAAACCTGTTAAATAACAGGGCATATTAATCCACAGGATTATTGGCTATGAGAAGGGAAGGTATTTATGTGTTACAGCATAGAGGGGTTGAAACAAGATGATGAGTATTTACTTGGGTTGAGAAACCTTCATGGATCCAAGACTCCCATATTTCTTTCCCTATGGATTGTTATGCCTCCCTGTAGATGTCATTGTAGGGAGTTACACATTGGGGATTCTGGAGCCTTTCCTTTTCTTTTCCTTGGTCTTTATCTTCCTTCTCCTACCCCTTATGAGGTACCCTTCTTTTGGCTCATGTTTTATTGTCTTTCACTACTCGTATCCCTACCCGCCTTTCTTTTTTTTTCTCCTCTTCCTTCCTTCTTTTTCTCTTTTTCTTCTCTTTAACTGCAGAGAGAGCACCACCATTTGTACATTCTCTCTAGACCAGCTATCACTAGCACTAAATTGTTATACTCCAAATCAGGGGTGTCAAACTCCATTTCATTGCGAGCCACATTGAAGCCAACATTATGACTGCCCTCAAAGGGCCAGTGGTATCTGTAAGATTATGTACATTTACCCAGAGCTTTTTTTCTCAGAGTATAGGTGCAGGAACTCAACCAAGTCCCCCCCCCCCCCCCCCCCCCCCCCCCCGCATCAAACAATCAAACATTGGGCATGGCCAAATTGCAATGGGGGGGATCTTAAAGTGACAATAACTACCAGGAGTTTATTGTGTGAGGAGTTCATGGATGCGCTATGTACAAAGTGCAGAGTTTAAGAGTGTGCTATGTACAAAGTGCAGTTTCAGGGATGCGCTATGTACAGAGTGAAGAGTTCTGTGGTGCCGGGTTGAGGAGTGCACTACATATAGTGTGCAGGGTTCAGCTCTCTTTCACAGGCTGTCCACATCTCACTTCCACCCCTCTTCCTCTCTGACCTCTGCACCACCATCCATCCCTTGCCTCTGCACACAGCTTCTTCCACAGCCCTAGTCTCCAAATCATTATTTGTCTGATATTTGGTGTGATTACACTTTGGCTGCAAACCATTATCAGTTCTTACACTTGCAAGTCAGTGAGTGTGTAGGATAAGAGTGAGGTGTGTGATTAACCAATACCAAGCAGGTGCTAATGATCATCAATTTCTAATGTAAATTGAAGCACAGTCATTAACCAAAATAGAAACAGCTGTGTAGGAGGGTTAAAACTGAGTGGGGAACAGCCAAACACTGCTACTAAGGTGAAATTGTGTAAGACAGTTTAATTTCATTTCACAGGTCATACACCATGGCAAGACTAGGCACAGCAACAAGACACAAGGTAGTAATACTGCATCAGCAAGGTCTCTCCCAGGCAAAGATTTCAAAGAAGACTGGGATATCAGGATGTGCTGTTAAAGTTCTTTTGAAGAAGCATAAAGAAACTGGCATTGCTGAGGACTGTAGATGTAATGGTTGGCTAAAGAAACTTAATGCAGCAGATGAAAGAAACATCATACTTACTTCCCTTAGACATTGGATGATGTCCAGCAGTGCCATCAGCACAGAATTGGCAGAAACAAGTGGGGCCCAGACACCCCGGTCCAATGTCTGGGGTGAATTCTGGCCAGAAAAACAAGTGGTCTTCTGGTGAATGGAAGAAATGGTCTTCATGGAAGCAACCAAAAAGCCATACCTCTGACGTGGAACCAAATAAACTATGCACAAAAACACAAGAACTGGGATGCAGAAAAATGGCAGCAGGTGCTCTGGACTGATGAGTTGAAATATGTAGCTGTAGCAGGAGGCAGTTTGTTTGCTGAAGGGCTGGAAGGAGATACAATAATAAGTGTCTGCAGGCAACAGTGAAGCATGGTGGAGGTTGCAAGTTTAGAGCTGCATTTCTGCAAATGATATTGGAGATGCCAAAAAATACATTCAGATAATTTTCCACAATGTCATACCATCAAGTAGGCATGTGACTGGCCCCAGATTTATTCTGCAGAGGGACAACAACCTCAAATATGTATCCAATGTCATTTAAAAACAAGGAGTCCTTGAAGTGATAGTCTGGCCTTTACAGAGCCCTGATCTCAACATCATTGAGTCTGTCTGGGATTACAGGAAGAGACAGGAGGATCTGAGGCAGTCCACATCCACAGACGATCTGTGGATAGTTTTCTCCAAGATGTTTGGAACAATCTACCTGACATGTTCCTTAAAGAAGAATTGATGCAGGTTTGAAGCCAAAGGGTAGTCACACCAAATATTGATTTGATTTGGATTTCTCTTCTGTTCATTTACTTTCAATTTTGTTAATTGATAAAAATAATCTATTAACACTTCTAATTCTGAAAGCATTCTTCATTTACAGCATCTTTTCATGTCTGCCTAAAACGTTTGCACAGTAGTTTATATTGTATTAAAAAAAAAAAACAGTCTAACCATTCTATCTGGTGTCAAGTAGAATACAATAATACATTTTAAGAGTACAAATTCACCTGACTGTTCTTTCTTTCTTTTTCCTTCTTAAACAGATGAAAGACTTAAAGCAGAGAATTATAGGATCTTGATGGACTTCAAACTCCATCAATTAAATGAAAACTGCTCAAAGACAACAACTGAATGTGCCACAAAAAGTCGTTTAGCCACTTCTGAAAATATACAGCTTCAAAGGGATAGAAGACCTGGAGAGTCAGATAAAACTGCATCAAGCATCCTGTACTGCAATTGATAAAACGTTTGGGATGGAGGTACAGAACTTAAAAACTGTGATTGAGAAAGCAATACCATCTGGAGACCACTATGATTCAACTGCAACGTGTAGACGAATATCTGATTTGGTTATCAACAGGATTGAAAGTACCTTGGTCAAGTTAAGGCAAGATGTTAACATTTTTGTCTATGAAAACACCCAATTGCAGGTGACCAAAGCACGGATTAATGCAGATCTGGAGAAGTGCATTCATGACAAGAACATTGTCACTTCAGAGAAAAATAACCTAGCAGAAAAAAAAGCTTCAATAGAAAAAGACCTGGGAACAAAAAAAGATGAACTCTATGCGTGTCAGTCTCAATATTTAAAAAAGGATGCAGAGTTAGCAAGCTGCCAGAAGCCACCGGTGAGACGTCTTACAGTGGATTTTTGGTGCATGTTCAAAGATTGATTATCTGCATATAGGGCATGATGAACAGAATATTAGATTTGTGCTGTATGTACTGTACTAGTAAATGAAGGTTTGGAGAAAGTATAGAGGTTACAATGAGTCATTGAGTTAACTTTAAAGACTTAAAGTATTTAAAAGAATACTATTATCAAAATGAAAACACTTCCTCTACTACTATTATTACTACCAAATTGTTCTTGGATATGAAGAGAAAATGAAAAATCTGAAAATAAAGGTTTTGCAAGAGCAACCAATGCGATTGTAACCATTACGTTGCAGTTAAAAATAATTTATTTTGCTGCAGTAACTAATCCAGTTTTGAGCTGCTAATGTTCACATACAAGTTAGAAAATAAATATGTCATATTTTACATTTACAATGATTCAAAGATAGCAAAAACCTCTCCTAATAGAGTGCACATTCTCAGCAGAGTGCACTCCTCAGCACATTTGAAATGTCATCGAACTTCAGTATATATAGTGTATATATCCTAAATAAATAAATATATATATATATATATATATATATATATATATATACATATACACACTGCTCAAACAAAAAATTAAAGGAAACCACATCAGGTCTCAATGGGGAAAAATCTCATGCAGGATATCTATACTGTTATGGACTGGGTAATGTGTTAGGAACGTAAGGATGCCCCATCATTTGATGGAAATTAAAATTATCAACCTACAGGGGACTGAATTAAAAGACAACCCGAAATTCAAAGTGAAAAAAGTATGCAGCAGGCTAGTCCATTTTGCTAAAATTTTTATACAGCAACTCAAATGGTACTCCACGTGCTTGTATACATGCCTGACAATGTCAGGGCATGCTCCTAATGAGACGACAGATGGTGAGGTATTTCCTCCCAGATCTGGTGCAGGGCATCATTGAGCTCCTGGGCAGTCTGAGGTGCAACCTGGCGGTGTCAGATAGACTTCGCATTGTCGTGCACTAGGAGGAACCTAGGACCCACTGCACCATCGTAAGGTCTGACAATGGGTCCAAGATTTGATCCCGATAGCTAATGACAGTCAGGGTGCTATTGTCTAGCCTGTAGAGGTCTGTGTGTCCCTCCGTGGATATGCCTCCCCAGATCATCACTGGCCCACCACCAAAATGGTCATGCCTAATGATGTTAAGGCAGCATAACATTCTTCAGACCCTTTCACGTCTGTCACATGTGCTCATGGTGAATCTGCTCTCATCTATGAAAAGCACAGGGCGCCAGTGATGGACCTGCCAATTCTGCTGTTCAATGGCAAATGCCAATCAAGCTCTATGGTGCCAGGCAGTGAGCGCAGGGCCTACTAGAGGACGTCTAGCCCATCCCTCATGAAGTCTGTTTCTGATTGGTCAGAGACATTCACACCAGTGGCCTGCTGGAGGTCATTTTGTAGGGCTCTGGCAGTACTCATCCTGTTCCTCCTTGCACAAATGAGCAGATGCTGGTCCTGCTGGTGAGTTAAGGACCTTCTACGGCCCTGTCCAACTCTCCTAGAGGAACTGCTTGTCTCCTGAAATCTCCTCCATGCTCTTGAGACTGTGCTGGGAGACGCAGAAAACCTTCTGGTAATGGCATGTATTGATGTACCATCCTGGAGGAGTTGGACTGCCTGTGCAACCTCTGTAGGGTCCAGGTATCGCTTCATGCTACCAGTAGTAACGCTGACCCTAGACAACTGCAAAACTAGTGAAAAACAGAAAAGATGAGTAGGGAAAAAATGAGTAAGGTAAAACCATTACAGTTTTGGGGATCATCTCATTGTTTCCCACATAGTGCACCTGTTTGTTAATTTCATTAACACCAAAGCAACTGAAACTGATTAACAACCCCCTCTGCTACCGAACTGACCAGATCAATATCCTAGGAGTTTAACTGGCTTGATGTTATAATCTAATTAAAAAGTGTTCCTTTAATTTTTTTTGAGCAGTGTATATGATAATGTGCCAGGTACAATGTCCCAAGTTACCAAGTCAAGATGCTACAAAGTCTGTCTACATATGGGAGACCCACCCTACACTTCTACACACCAACAAAGGTTAGACATAGGGGTTTGGTAGGAACACTACATATTTCAACCTGCAAAGGGCCTTATTATCTAGGACTGAGGTTACATCCAAGTACCCAGTCTTCTGCACTGTATTTTGACAGCATTGCATCTATAAATTTGCAACGTATAGCCATCATTAATCAATTAAATTTAATTATATGGTATACGTTATAATTAAAAGTTATATTTTCTCCCAGTATAAAATATCTGCCTTGTCATCTCCAGAATTTTTAGTTTACATTATCCAAATTCTAATGTGGTTTCTATATTATTGCCATATTTTGTACCTGATATGTATATCTTGTTTGTGTGTATAAATCCATTAAATTATTACTTCCTAATAAATTTTTTTTTTTTCACAGATGCGACCACCAGTTCTATTTCCACCACTTCGTACTTAATGGAAACAGAGAACACAAGGTAATATTTTGTGAAAGAGGCCATCAATGTCAGCCTACAGGTTTACTTAATTTTGAGGAGCTTAAGAGTTCTTAGGGTTACCTAAAAAAAAAACCTAGATTGAGTGACAAAACTGAGAAACTATGTAACAACTCTCATACTGTTGTTGGGAATTCATTCAATTGTGTGCAAGTAAAATGCTGTTTTTTGCTAGAAAATTACTTATAACCCTATAAACATATTTTTTATAATTCAGTAAGCTTCTTGAAAACCACAATGTTCATATATGTATTGTCCTTGCGAGTGATCAGTGAACAGCCTATTTGTCTTTAGTAAATCTACTCCAATGTGTAATGGAAGAGATGGAGTTGAGTGGGGTGAGAGTGTCTGCGTCTCCTGCTAAGTCCTTGTTTTTCTTTAACTTGAGGACATTACTGGGTGAGACTACCTGGGTGCTCTTATTCCTTTGCTGTAGGGTCTCTTAAAGTGTGCATCAAAATTTTGACATGCAGCTATGTCCCTGCAGCCGATGCGTCTGCATCCACTTCTATTGGCTGCCTACATGCAGCTCTGAAATGGATTCACACGCAGCAGACATTGGCTAAGCACAGAGGATGGGTCTCAGCGCCCATCTGAATGAACTAATAACCATGTGTAGCAAACCTGCTCATCAGAGTTGGAGCGGAGTTCTCCTTCAACCTTTTTTTTCTTGTTCCATTCTGTTATTTGAGGTATTCCTCGCTCATTCCTCACATCCCCCCTTTCCAGTCCTGAGAGGCAAACGTTATCTCCTGACAGATGGTGCGGGTCAACCAGGTTAAGACATCTTGAGTTTGCCGCCAGCCGTCTGGGAAAACTGTCACCTTTCTCACCTACGTTCTGATAAGGCAGCATTTCTCAGAAGGGCTGGGAAGCATTGACCCAAAACGGCGTAAGCCCACACATTATCAAACTGACCAGAGTAATTGCACATTCCTAAGGTCAACCGTATGTTTCATGTCATGTATTATGAAGCTGTAGTTAATACAGAGTTTCCCACTGACCACTCCCAAAATGTGTAGTCAGAGCCCCCCCCTTAGAGAGGGACTTTTAAGAAGAGACAAGTGAGCTAGAGCTAGACACACACAGAGATCTCCCAGCAACATCGTAACAAAAGGAGATCAAGAAATCACCCTGCTCTACAACTTGGATCTGCAAACCCAGACATATGGGCATGTAACTTAACCCTGTAATCTTCTTCCTAATTATCTCTTTGCTGTGTCTTTATACACATATATATATATATTTTTGTGACATCTCTTTGTAAATATTGTATCGCACCTGTTGACCCTTTTAGTAATAAATCTTTCTTTCTGAAAGTGTTAAAACTGTTTCTAAGCGCTTATTTGCAATGCACGAATCCCTGCCTTTGAAGAGACGCTACTGTTTGGTATATCTCTGTGTAACAGGTCCGCGGGCCGTGCTATATAGATCAATATTTCAATCATTATAGTGTATATTTGATAACAGGAGTTTCCCAGTCTCCGACAAAAGTGGTGGTGGCAGTAGAGGGTTAGTTGCGTAATTAACCTGACCCAGTAACAAGCGCATTTAGGCTGCAGGCACCGATTGTAGTCCATTAGCTGTGCTGGGTGCAGCTGAGTGTGGCCTTGTTACGCGCGTCACACCACGGTTTTAGATCGGCCGGTCCTTCGGTCACGAGTTTGGTGAGAAGGTCTGGGGTCTGACACCGTGGGCGTGACGTATTACTGTTAGTCGCGGTCGTGTGATTGTCGCATGTTGGTGGCGGCGATCGTGGATCCGTGACACCATGTAAGTGCAGAAAAGTGATTTTGTGAAAAAGTACTTAAGGCTTGTTCACACGTGCGGCAGAGACTGTACCATGCTTGGATAGCTTTTCAGAGGTGTTTGATAGGCAGTTAAGAGGCAATAAGTCACCTTCTTAATGCCCAATTTAACCGCATTCCAACTGCACTATAGCCGAAAGATGGCTACAGCGCTGTTGTCCAGTTCTGGGAGGGCGTACATGGACGTCCTCCTAGAACGCACCCCTTGTGCATCCGGTGCTGTCGGTGATCGCTGTGTCCTATGGACAAAGCTGATTGCGTGATGAGGTAAAAGGCCAATCACAGCGGCCTTTTACCACGTGATCAGCTGTGTCCAATGACACAGCAGATCACAATGTAAATACAGTTGCCGGTTATTGCCTGCACTTTCCTCATGCTGTCACAACGTGAGGAAAGTACTCCCAATAACCAGCAAATGTGACAGGGGAGATCTGCACTAATAATCAGGGCACTGATTATCAGTGATCTGATTATCAGTGCAGCCCATCAATGCCCAGTAATGCCACCCATCAGTGCTAACCATCAGTGCTGCCCAGCAGTGCCATATGTCAGTGCCTCCACTCGGTGCTCTCATTCAGTGCCTCCCATCAGTGTCCATCAGTACTGCCTATCAGTGTCCATCATTGTTGCATATCGGTGCATCATCAGTGCCTCCTCATCAATGCCCACCAGCGCCGCCTTGTCAGTGCTACCTATGAGTGCCGCCTCATCAGTGCCTCATCAGTGCTGCCTTTTTCATTTTGCAGTGCAAAAAATAAAAACCCCAGTGGCAATTATATATCACCAAAAGAAAGCTCTATTTTGTGTGAAAAAAATGTCATATGGGTACAATGTTGCATGACCACACAATTGTCAATCAAAGAGCAACAGCACTGAAAGCTGAAAATTGGCCTGGGCAGGAAGGGAGTAAAAGTGCCTGGTAGGCAAGTGGTTAACCCTTGAAATGCCGCGCTACCATACTGCAATAGCATGCATTGCCAGTGATTGCGGGGTGGTTGCAGGGTGTCCCCATAGGACTGCATTAGTTGCAGGGTGTCCCCATAGGACTGCATTAGTTGCAGGGTGTCCCCATAGGACTGCATTAGATTAATTCAGTTGCAGTATCGCCTGCTGAAGGTGGCAAGCTGTTTAGGATTTGCTGTGGCCATGAAGCACAGCATTGGGGCCACAGCATATGCACAGCCTTGAGAAGCTGTATGTTTAGTGTTCAGGCGGGTGGTTAGGGGCCACCTGGTTTTACTTCCCTCCCAGATACATGTGTGAATGACCCCTTAAAGTGACTAAGAACAGTATACTCAATCAAGGATTAAGCATTGTATACAATATGCTTAATATGTATTGCCACTTTTGCAGCCACATTGAGATAACACTTACTTTATATTTTTTACATGTTTCATTCACATAACATAAATTTAAAAAAAAATCCACTTATCTCTCTTTATTTATAAGGGCTGGGGATCTGTGCTTGCCATAATTAACTTTGTTTGTACTGTACTGGCAGATCTCATTATCATTTGTAAATCAGATCTACAGTTGCAAGAAAAAGTATGTGAACCCCTTGGGATTACGAGGAGTTTTGCATGAATTGGGCATAAAATGTGCTCTGAACGTCATCTAAGTCACAACAATAGAAGAACACAGTCTGCTGAACATAATACTACACAAACATTAGATGTTGCCATGGTTTAATTGCACATAACATGTAAACATTCACAGTGCAGGGAGGAAAAAGTATGTGAGGCCCTCGCTTAATGACTTCTCCCAGAGCTAATTGGAGCCAGGAGTGAGCCAACCTTGACTCCAATCAGTGTGATGATATTGGATGTGTTGCTGACAGCTGTCCTGCCCTTAAAAAACACACACCTGTTTTGGGTTTACTGGTTTCAAGAAGCACTGTCTGATGTGAACCATGCCTCGCAGAAAAGAGCTCTCAGAAGACCTAAGATCAAGAGTTGTTGACTTGCATGAAGCTGGAAAGGGTTACAAAAGTATCTTCAAAAGCCTTGATGTTCATGTGTCCACGGTAAGACAGACTGTCTACAAATGGAGAAAGTTTAGCACTGTTGCTACTATCCCTAGGCGTGGTCGTCCTGTAAAAATGACTGCAAGAGCACAGCGCAGAATGCTGCATGAGGTAAAGAAGAATCCCAGAGTGTCAGCTAAAGGCCTACAGAAATCTCTGGCACATGCTAACATTTTTCTTGACACATCTACAATAAGGAAAACATTAAACAAGAATGGAGTACATGAGAGGACACCACGGAGGAAGCCATTGCTGTCCAAAAAGAATATTGCAGCACGTTTTAAGTTTGCAAAAGAGCACCTGGATGTTCCACAGCACTACTGGCAAAATATACTGTGGACAGATGAAACCAAGATTGAGTTGTTTGGGAAGAACACACAACACTATGTGTGGAGAAAAAAAGGCACAGCACACCAACATCAAAACCTCATCCCACTGTAAAACATGGCGGAGGGAGCATCATGGTTTGTGGCTGCTTTGCTGCCTCAGGGCCTGGACGGATTGTTGCCATTGATGGGAAAATGAATTCCAGAGTTTATCAAGACATTTTGCAGGAAAAAACGTTTGACCATCTGTCCGCCAACTGAAGCTCCCGCAGAGGATGGGTGATGCAACAGGACAATGACCCAAAGCATACAAGTAATTCAACAAAACAATGGCTGCAACAGCACAGAATACGCCTTCTGGAGTGGCCCAGTCAGAGTCCTGGCCTCAACCCGACTGAAATGCTGTGGCATGACCTTAAGAGAGCGATTCACACCAGACATCCCAAGAATATTGCTACACTGAAACAGTTTTGTGAAGAGGAGTGGTCCAAAATTACTCCAGATCGTTGTGCAGGTCTGATCTGCAACTACAGGAAACGTTTGGTTTGAGGTTATTGCTGCCAAAGGAGGGTCAACCAGTTATTAAGTCCAAAGGTTCACATACTTTTTCCTCCCTGCACTGTGAATGTTTACATGTTATGTGCAATTAAACCATGGCAACATCTAATGTTTGTGTAGTATTATGTTCAGCAGACTGTGTTCTTCTATTGTTGTGACTTAGATGACGTTCAGAGCACATTTTATGCCCAATTCATGCAAAACTCCACGTAATCCCAAGGGGTTCACATACTTTTTCTTGCAACTGT